TATGCTTTATAAGCGTTGAGTTGTGTTGTGTTGACACACATTGACTGACAAGTGACTGACTATTCATTTGATGGCACTCTTGAGCGCTCACCTCATCTGATCCCAAGACCTAGACTACAGTGAACGCCAACATGTCTTCTTCGGGTGATTTCGGTAATCCGTTGCGAAAATTCAAATTAGTCTTTCTTGGGGAACAAAGTGGTGAGCATTTGTCATGAGCTCATTGTCTCGTCACATCACTTATCTCTTCTTCCGTCACATTCTGATTAATGTGGATCTGCTTCACAGTGGGAAAGACATCATTGATCACCCGATTCATGTACGACACCTTTGACAACACATATCAGGCGACCATCGGAATCGACTTCTTGTCCAAAACCATGTACTTAGAGGACAGAACAGTTGAGTTAACCACTTCTTTGCCTTACCATTGATTATCTCATTTATTACTAACATATCTCTTATGGCTATAATTGTCATAATTAATGGCTTTATAAATGTTTACAATGTCTATAAGTGACACTTTGACTATATATACCAATCATTTCAATCAATTAGAGTTGTTTAGCATTTTCTTATCATTTTATAAATCACTGATATTTCTATTCAATTATATACTGATTTAAGTGAAAACATGTTTTTAATTCAATTTGGTTCAACTTTTATTTATTATAAGTTATTTTAGTCAAATGCTATGAAAAATATGCTTATTTTGACAAAGTTTTTAATATTGTTTTGAGATATTGTTAAACAAAAAATAAGGATTTACTTAAAATATTTTGATAATTAGTTCAGAAATGGTTTCACTTTATTCTTGTTTGCAAATCAGTTCACACTTTAATACCATAATTGGTTTTATCAAACATTTCAATGTTTTGAGTTTGAAATTTGAATTATGCACTACTTTTCTGTAGGTTTGCTCTCAAAAGGTAGTTTTCATTTTATTTATTCGCATTTTCTGTAATCATTTCGTTTTGTTATTACAAAATTATTTTTATTCATTTACACGTTTATTTTGCCATTAAATCTAATATATAGTTTTGCTAAACTATAACTCCTTTATAAAATAAGCCATAAAA